ATCATAATAATTTAATTTGCAATCATGACACTATACGCTCTCTATTGACATGTTGCGTTATTAATTAAATAGTTTCCATTATGCCAATTGACGTGGGCTATCTATGTATATTTAATCAATGGCTTGATATAATACCAGAAAATCTTAAATACAATATAAAATCAATGTTAACAGAAACTTTTTGCTCAGTTTTGCCACAGAACCTCACTAATGTAAAAATATTTAAGGATTTTAATTCATTAGCTCATAGAATAATGGAATCGAGTGAACTTAAGCCTAAACCCACAGAACCATTGTTTATTTTTAAAATAGAATTCCATATTACCATGCTTTATATATCCAAAACCTTTTCTATATTATTTATTAGTGCAGTAGCTATAAGGTTTAAGAATAAAATCATAAAAATGTATAATCCGGAAATTGCGGACAATCTTTCAAATAACGATCAAGATAACCTTTGAGTTTATAATTAAAAAAAAAACATTTTTGTATCGCCTTTAAGTTAAAAGTAAAATTAAGTTAGTTTAAAAGTATTAAAGATACCATGTGGCGGTATTGTAACTAGGTGTACCCGTAGTTAAAGAAATTTGTAAAAGTAGTAAATTAGGTCGCTTGGACTACTCCAGTTTAACGCTGGGGGTATGTTGTATATGCATGCCTGTGTGTATGTATATATGTATGTATGTATGCATGTATATATGTGCGGAGGGGGGCTTGCATATATATAACGCTCAAATGTGTTGACTCAGGATAAAATGACTGTGTGACCGATTCGGTTCTCACGATGGTCTACGTGACCAAAAAGGCTGGGTCAGCACATACTGAAGGCCTCTGACGGACCGTTGCAACGCGCCCGGTCTGTTGGTAGTTAGTCGAGTCTGGTTTAAAGAGTGAGTGACACCCGCGTTACTCAGCAGAGCATCTTATAATTTGTATAGCAGAACCTCGTATAGTTTTAACCAGATCCTCTCGTAATATTAGTATTTAAATATTCATTTCTTTAGTGTTTATTTCATATCAACATTCATTTATTCAATGTTAAGTTAATAAATCAGTAATTATAATATAATATATATACCTATAACCAACACCTGTGTTACTTCATTTGACACTAACAACTAAGATAAACCTCACACGATGGTACACCACACTTCAATATTGTCTACGCTCCCATCTTTGTGTAATTTGAGCTTCCACATTACTTGTAATTAAATTGTAAATCCTATGGATAATAAAGTGGTATATATTTGTAAGCTCGTTCAAAGATAACCAATTAATTATTATCTGTAATTTTTACCCAAGTATATTAGTTCTAATGTATCAAATTATTTTATACAATAATATGACTGTATTAAAAAAAATATATATATTATCATTTAGAACTTAACATAAAAAAAATTATAAATTACTATTGTTACCACTGTTCATATAATTATATTGATCATATAAATATGATAATCCTATTCGATTTTTTTTCCCATTGTCGGCCTAAATATTGTAAATGTAAAAAATTATCAATTACATCTTTTTTTATTTCCCTTAAGAATTTTCTTTTAAATTTTTTATTATGACTTTTTTTAATTTAATTTTTTTTTTTAATTCAACATATTCCGCATCCTGTTTTTGGTCATTCTCAATAAACTGCTGATGTATTATATTTCTTTTCTCCATAATAAACTCTTTTGATACCATATTTTATATTCTGCAAATAAAAGTCGAATTTATGTATTATCAGATAGTAATAATGTATATTTTATTTTTTGTTTTTTATTAAATTTTCTTTCAATTGCATTTGCTTTCATAGTTTATAGATTTTCACTATATACCTATATTTGTTAGCATATTACATATACAAATATAATAATATCAGAAAAAGATGTGTTTTGAATAGACTGTATTTAATTCACCACATTAAAGATATCGGATAACCGAATTTAAATCTACTAAGAATGTTGACGAACCATTTAAGCGACACATGAAACCGATAGTAAACAAACGTAACATGGAACTATATTAAGTTACTGGAACTATAGTACACTATAATCTTTAGAAGAAATTCTCTATAAGAATTTACGACGAATATACAATCTATTATTAAAACAAATTCAGTGACAAATGATAATAAACAGGTTGAATATTTTTATAACCTTGTAAATATATATATATATATAATAACATATAACATATAATAATAAGATTATGGGACAATACATAGGGAGGGAGGAAGATTTTAATTTATACAGATGACCAGAACATTATAGTTATAGTTCATGTCACGATTAAAGATCGTTTTTAAAGTAGCAACCGAAATCGTTAATAACGTCGAATATTCACTACCTACTAGCGCTAGCAAAATTATTTGTAGTGAAATATAAAACTAGACAGCATCAGTCACCACCACAGTAGTTAGGCTTATCACCACAATTATACACAAGCGCTAGTGGTGAGGTAAGGGTTAATAAAAAAGCAGCTAGCCAAAGTTATCTCTCTTATGAACAAAGGAAAAAAAGTGACCTTCAACCAGTTGAAAATATTAACATTCAGAAGAAAATTGGGCCACAAAATAGGTTTTACTCTACCAAAAAAAAAAAGCAACAACCAAAAATAATATTCAAAAACCTTCAATAAATGAAGTTAATACCATTATGGAAGGGCTTGAGTTGAGCCTGTTGTTTGTTGATATATTCTACATTTTAACTACATAGTAAGTGAATTATTATAAAATAAAATAACAAGAAATGCATTAAAAAATTATGTGTTTAATTAAATAAAACTATTAATTTATGGCAAAATAAAGTTACAATATTGTATTGATACTTGATTAAATAATATATTTTTTATGATCAAATTTGTAACAGTAGACAGTAGTAAATTTTATAAACTAAGCTAAAATATTTATGAATAATGTCGTGCCTATTTAAATGCACGCTTTATTTTAAATATTAACACCGGGAATTATGATTAATTTGTTTTCACTGATCACTACGATAATCACGGAAGTCAAATTGTGGAGCAAATCGCTAGGGGCGCCGCGCGCGTGATAAGGATGCCAAAAATCTACTGCTGGGAAGCTCTTGTTGATTACAGTAGGTACTCTTGCCTGCCTCATGTAGGCCAACAATTGGACTTGAGCAAGTACTACCATGTATCATTTTTTTTTTTTTTTTTGAACATAATCTAACAAGCAGTACTGACAGTGAGACCCCACTTATCTCTCTCTCATACATGTCAAATACCGGCATACTACGTCGCTTACCTTATCGATAAATTGATATTGTGATATCATAACTATTATTATTATTATTATTGTTATTATTATTACTATCAGTATTCTGTTTTAAACTTTTTTTGAAGCAAGTATATAAAGTTTAATAAATTATAAAATAGGTACGTACATAATTGAAAGAATATGAAAATATTTTGTTTCTCTGAGTCTGAAGAGCTGGAACACTTGTATTGAACTACGTTGAAATGGGCTGTAGATTTATAAGTGCTGATGATGGTCTGCTGGATTGTTTCTTCACTGATATAGCTGGAACACTGGTGTTGAAGACTGTACTGCACTGTGTTGAAATGGCTGGTGACTGTTAGATTTTGACGATATTCTCCTGGCTTTTATATTCAGATATTTTCCATTACTAAATATTTTAGCCAAGTATTTAAAATAGTCAATGGTATTATATGACCTCAAAATTATTAGAATGTATCCTACGGCAGTGAATAACATTAAACAACATCATATTATCTGCAACACTTAAAATAAGTTTCACTACTGGTTCTGAACAGGATGTGAAAATGTGGTAAGGTTTTACAGGTCATTGCTACGAGCATCTGCTTATTGCCAAATTTTAAGATTTTTTGAGGTCATTGGTATTTGCAAGAATTCTTGAAATAAATAAATTACAATGGACATGAGAACATTTCAAAAGTATAAACAGCAGTCAATGACTTTATATGACCACATTTCTTATTAACAGCTGGCAAAACACTTGAAATAAATTAGGATATACATAAGGATAAATTGTAATAATGGTTCTGAGTTGAATGTATAAAATATAGAAAGGTTTTTTTTACACGTCGTTGACATGAGCAAACGCATATAGTCGAGTTTAGAGTAGTGGAAAATATCTGTGTATAAAAGCCAGCAGAATATCGTCAAAATGTATTAGTCTCCAGTAATTTCAACACAGTGCAGTACAGTCTTCAACACAGCTCAAGATGTCCTACAGAACTTCAATCGCGTCTTCTGAATCAGAGGTTAGTACTTTTT